GTGCCCCAAACATAAGAAGGATGTAGACCTGTTGAAGTAAGACCAAAGGAGGGCCATGATAATGATCCTATGACTGGAACACCTCTCCTTATGATAACAGGCTGAGACAGTTGGGATCATTCAGCCTGGAGAAGAGAAAGCTCCAGGGAGACCTTATAGCACCTTCCAGAACCTAAAGGGGGCCTGTAAGAAAGACAGAGAGAGACTTTTTATAAAGGCATGTATGATAAGACAAGGGGGAAGGGCTTTAAACTAAGAGTAGGTTTAGATTAGATATTAGGAAGAAAATCTTTACTGTGAGGGTGGTGAGGCTCTGAAACAAGTTGCCCAGAGAAGCTGGGGATGCCCCATCCCCAAAGGTGTTCAAGGCCAGGTTGGATGGGGCTTTGAGTAATCTGGTCTAGTGGAAGGTGTTCCTGCCCATGGCAGGGGGGTTTGAACTAGATGATATTTGAGGTCCCTTTCCAAACCCAAACCATTCCATGATTCTATTTGGTGCAACACATATGCATAGCAGGGTAAGTTTAGATGCTCTGATGGCCTTTCAGTTAGTATTTCCCTGGGATTTTTTTTGAACTTACAAGAAATCCTGGTTTTCAAGAGAGAGGGGCTAATAGCCCTTCCTGAGCCTGGCGCAGGAACAAATCACATTACCCTTACTCATGGGAATAATCTAATTAAACACAACAGGAATCCTCATATGGACATGGTAAAGCAAGCAGTATTTCAATGCTACAGTAGCAGACAAAAGAAAATTCTCTACTTCTTTCAAACATGGTTCAGTCTGGATCTACAGCATTTCACTATTAAAAAAATAATATTTTTTCCCTAGGATTCAGTGTAAGCATATGCCTGTACAGAGCAGTCCGTATTCATCAAAATAGTTCCATGTTTTGTAGCCAAGAGTCTGTCTTCTAAAGCATGTTTTTCCATACTTTCTTAGTTGAATGACTACATAATTTTTTACCCCCCAAAAATGCTAGAATGTATTGCTAGAATTTATTTCAGAACTGAAATAAAAAATGAGCTAAAACTTCACACTATTGTTAATTTTATTTTTCTTCCCTATCTGTTTGTTTGCTGTAAACCTAGGAACATGGATACAGGGGTTTGTTTGTTTGTTTGTTTTGTTGTGTTGTTGTTGTTATTATATTTGAGACCACCTTCTGGCATTTACGGAGAATGGATTCTGAGAAAATCTGAAGAATATCACAGAAAAAAACTGTCAACTATTACAGTTGAGTGAAAAGTATGCTCTGGAAGCAAAGGGATTGCTTTCTCTCATTTCAGTGGGAAGCAAGTGTTACAAAAGGTACAGAAAGAGACAAGATCAGATCTTGTCCTCAGTTCTGTGAAGGATATCCAGTGAAGGATAAAGGAATGCACAGCATCCTTCTACACATGGTGTTGGCCTGTGTCAATGACTGATCTTGCATGCTGACCTGAAAATGGCTATAATTTTGCAAATACTGTGATTTGCTAATGTAGAACACCTTGCTGGACAGAGATCCAACTATCCATCTCATGAATGAAATTGTCACTGAGAAATTCACAGTCTTTGCAGTGAATATGTCAATATCAAGAAGAAGAGATAAACGTTATTTTAAAAGGAAAGAAATGAATCATGTTCTGTAGCATTTCTTGTGTATGTACTCTTAATTTTCAGCCTGATGAGGTTAGAATGGCAGCAAACGAACACCAGAGCTGCAATTACTACAGGGCTGAGATTAATGTTTCAAATTTGTTGTTCTTTAAGAATGCCAGTGCTACAATAATGTTCACATGAGTTGATGAACGGCTTACCTCACTGAAAGTTTGCTTATCAAAAACAAACACTGTTGATTAGAGAAGACAGCTACTACTAAACAACGTTCTAGCTTATAAAAATAAAGAGAACATGATTTTGTAAAAATTTATTTGTCAAACCAAAAATTAGTTTAAGAACTAAAGGGATCTATTAAACATAATGTTGGGAATTCACCTTCTTTTAATTTTTTGTGTGGTTTTTTTTTTCCCCCACACTACATGTAATGTGTTATGTGATCTCAGCAGAGGAAATGGCAACCAGTTCAAACTGGAAATTATATAATAAAGGATTTCACTAATACAACTTCTAATAAAATTCAGGATTGCAACTTTATCAGAAATTCAATGTGGAGGAATGCATGTATATGGAACAGCTGTAGTCAAGAATTACTGTAGCATTTGGGTACATGGGTAAATGACGGAGTCTTCCATGAATAGTAGTATGAAGTATGGAATGGACAATGAAAAATATCAAACTATATTTTGTTATCCTGTTTTTCTAGAGAAAGGAAGTTTATGCAGTTATGTGCTTCTGGTCCATCTGTTCCACCACAAAGATGAAGTAGTCACTGACAAATTTTAAGCAAATTTAGCAATGGTTCTCAAAATTTCGAAGTTATTTTGGGATTGTTAAAAGTCAGTAAGTCAATAGAGATCCAAATTAATAGAAAAGCAATTATAACTTAAATTCCTACCCATTTAACAGGCAGTAGCCATGCGACGAATCAGAACAAGAAATATAGTCAACTTATCAGCCAACATGAAGCTTTCAACCAACCACACTATTTGTAGCAACACATCTCACCGTACAGATGTGGATGTGAGAATAGTAAAGAGGAGAAGTGCTGGGTGTTAGCTCCTAAAGGGGTTACAATTTTTAGTGACTATTACAGAGCTCTAGTCTTGGGTTTCAGTTTTGCAAAAGAGGTCATGCATTCTTGAAAGCAGTTAAGTGAATGTGCATTCGGTTTTGGTAGTTCTGCGGTGGGACCGGTGGGAATAGAACCTTTGTCACCTCCAAGAGTATACAAAATTCGAGTATACCTTTATTCTGAATCATACATGATTGCTTGTGTTTGGTGGCAAATTGTAAAGGAATTTACTTCCAAGAAAACTTTGTGCTTTCCTGCCTCTTACAACTGATCTTTTGGGTTTTCTTCTCATCTTTTGCAGCTTTCTGAAATAATGTTGGTTCCATGATTCACAGCTAGCCACTGTTTTAGTCATGTCTATGTACCTGGGCAATGCATATCCACAAGCACCTACGGCCCTTGCCAAAAAAAAAAGTAACATACTGTACCTACAAGCACATAGAACAAATGCACCTTAGTACAAAGCTGAGGTCTTTTCTTTCTTCTCTTGGGGGAGCTTAGAGCATCTGCTGTAATCCTGGAGGATGTACTGATTGAGTTCTGCTGATTCATTGTGTTTATGCAGTTTATTACTCAAAGCTGGACAGAAGGACCAGCAATCCAGACAAATTCCCAAATGTGGGGTTATAGAAGAGTCAGGATGAACCATATTCTGAGACCAGGGGACAAGATCTGTTGTAAAATTCAACTTTGTGATGACAGTCACCATGAAGCAAAGAACATATTTTTGAAAGGTATGGATTATCTCCGGCACATGCAGAGCAAATATATACAACTTTATTCAAAAAACTATTAGAATAATTTGACCCTTCTCAAAATGTTGCAGGTACTTCTGTTTCTTTGGTACTGGAGAGGCTTGAAAAAATGCCCATTGCCATGAACATCTCTGCAACCAAAGGGCTTGGTAAAACTGCTGTTGACTGGACGTTTCTGTATGCAACACCACCACTGAGCAAGACTGCAAGTATTAAGAACAACTCTGGAAATATATTTTTGCTTGAACAAGCAGCACATGAGCTCTCAGGATGGATGACCCCAAGGGTTTCACCCTGTCCCTCCCCATGCCTAATGGGAATCCAGCTCAGGAGCACGCACTGCCCCTGACTCCCTCACTCCAACCTGACCACTCGCTAAGCCTGGAGTTGCTAAGAAAACCCACCCAAAAGGTCCCCCCTACCCAAACACTTCCACAGAATCACAGAATGGGTCAGGTCGGAAGGGACCACAGTGGTTCATTTGGTTCAACCTCTCCGCTCAAGCAGGGTCATCCTAGAGCACATGGCATAGTATTGCGTCCAGATGGTTCTTAAATATCTCCAGTGAGGGAGACTCCACAACCTCTCTGGGCAATCTGTCCCAGTGCGCGGTCACTTTTCTCACACAACAGCCTGGGACCAGTGCGGAAAACGCACGACAGAGCCCACAGCGGCTGGAAAGCGCGGGGGCCGCCCGAGGAGCCCCGCGTGGGTCTGCTCGGCCGGCCGGGGGCAGCGAGACTCCTCACCGGCAGGGTCCCGGGAGCGGCCAGCGAGAGCGCAGCTCCCGTCCCGCGGCCCGCGGGGCGGTGCAGGGGGGCAGTACTCCGCCTCGCCCGCAGGGGGCGCGCTGGGCTGCGGGGCGGGCCGGCCCTGTCCTTTGAGCGGCGTTGCGAGGGTGTCCGCCGGGGCGGGAGGGCGGCGGCCGGGGTCACCGGCGGGAGGCGCCCGCGGCCCCCCGCGCAAACCTGCTCACCTGTGCCGGGCCGGCTGGGGGGGCCGGCACGCGCCACTCCCTGCCGACGGGCTCGGGCAGGCGCCCTGGCGGCCTACCGCAGGCAAAGGGGGCGGCAAATGGCGGAGTGAGCGCGCGGGTCGGCTCCACAACAACAGGCGGCAGCGGTCGATCGCTCGCGCCGCCGTCCGCCCCGCGGCCGCCGCTTCGGCCCCGCCGCCGCCGCACCGCGCTTCGGCGCGCGGCCGCCGGCCCCCGGCCCGGCGGGGAGGCGGCGCACGCCCGGGCAGCGCTCGGCTAACCGGAGCAATCGGCGCCGCATATAATCCTCATTATGCCGGAGCGGGGAGCGGCTCCTGGGACGGGTGGCCTACGCTCGGGCCGGTCCCTGCGGCCCCGCCGGTGCGACTGCGGTTGGATGCGCGCTCGGCGCCGGCCGGGCGGGGAGGCGCGGCGGCGGCAGAGCGGCAGGTGCCGGTTACGGCGGGGGGTAAATGGCGAGCGAGAAGCGGTGTCGGGACGGGACCCGCAAGCACACCGCGGACTCGATCTCCGTCGGGGCCGGCGGTGGAGGCGGCGGCCGGAGGGGGCGGCGGCAGCGGCGTCGCGGTGATGGGGGAGCTGAGGGCGTCGGGCTCCGGGTCCGTGGTGCTCCCGGCGGGAATGATTAACCCGTCAGTGCCGATCCGCAATATCCGGATGAAATTCGCCGTCCTCATCGGACTCATCCAGGTCGGGGAGGTCAGCAACCGGGACATCGTGGAGACGGTGCTGAACCTGGTAAGCGGCCGGGCACCCCGCCCCGGTGACGCCCCGGCGGGCACCGGCCCGCGCAGCCCATCTCCTCCCGGGGCTGCCCCCGCGCCCCTCCGCCCATGTGCCACCCCAAAGGCACCGGCATCCTCCCAGCCCCCGTGTCCCTCCTACACGCACGGCCCTTCTCCAACCATCCTTCCTTCCCAAACTCCTCTTTTGCCTCTCTTTCTCCTCGTTAATCCCGCGATTTGCTCGTCTCCTCGTCGTGCGTGTGACAGAAACCCCCTCAGCGCTCCCTAAACTCCACGCAGGACCCTACCTAGTACAAACAGGCCACTCTTCCCCTTCCCAGTGCCTCGTCCCAGCCGCCTCCTGCAGAAGTGTAGTGTGTGCAATTCACATGGTAAAAAATAAGGAGATTAAGTAATTCGCAATTTCGTGTTATGGACGCTGCCCTTTAACCTAGTGGCTTCCTCGCGGGAAGAAGAGTGGCATGAACGTAGTATCTGTTTTTAATTGGAAAACATTAAGAAAACCAGCCTGGGCTGGTATCTTTTTCTTGGATGACTGAAACATGTGAAGGGTTTAACCCTGTTAGATCAGAGCTAGTTGAGCATTTTATGTAGAGGAAGGGGGAGGAGGGAGATTTTTGGGAGGATTTAATACTCTTTAATATCTGTAATAAAGTGTTAGTTGTATTGCAGTATTGTATTAGGTTTTGCTCAGGTCTTAATAATCTACCATGCTTTCCAAAACACATTCTTGTCAGCAAAGTAAGTGTTGTTACTACTTTTGTTCAAGGTCTGTGCATTGCAAAATAGTATTGTCCAGTGGTAAATAGCTGAAACAAGGAGAAGATGCTAAATTGTATCTCCTGAGTCATCTGCTCACTTCATGGAGTGAAAGAGTTACTGCAGGACTGTATGACTTAATGTTTTTGCGCTACCTACACCAAAGCCTGAGGAACCTACAGAAGCCAAGCGAGTGGATCTAAAAATGAATCACTTTCAATTATGTGCAATTTGGTGCTGTTCCTGAATGCAAAATTTGCTGCAGCAAAGCTTTTGAAGCAGTTCAGTCAATGAAATACCCTCAAATTTTACATATAAAATAGGATAGGAAAATGACTGCTCAAAACAGAATGACAATTAATTGAAACTGCCTTTGTTTCAAATGAGTTTAATGCTTCTAACCTCCAGTCATTTTATACAAAGTCATATAAAGAATATATTTTGTTTCAAACACTTTAAAAAGATGTATTCCTCTGTTGGACAGTTATTTGCATTTGACCTAGCACACACTGAATGGAAAAGCTGCAGCATGCAGGGAAAGACGTGATTTGGTCAGATCATTTTAATATTTATGGCTTATCTGAACACACAGGGTTAAAACCCTGTTAGTTTTGTGAATATATCAAAACAGTAATCTGGTATATTTCCCACTCCTTCCTACAAGCTGTTTGACAGCTTGAAATGTGACTTGTAAATTTTAATTTTTTTTCTGTACAAGTGTGGTGGAAGTCACCATAACTTCATTGGATTATTACTCATTCCTTTAAAAGTAGCACTCAAAATAAGGAAATGACATACAGTTATTTTCTTAACTGGCTTTATATAGATCATGACAGATACAAAGATGTTTAATCCCTTTCTGGTTTTCTTTCTTCCTTCATTCTTTTTACTAATATTTAAGCTTATTTTAATTCTGGCTGTTAGTGCATCAGCAACTGGACTAACATTGGCTTGTCTTTGGTGGGGAGGTTAGAATATGTTTTGATATTTGTGTGGAGGACATCCAGTGCTTGCATATAAGATCCACCTACTAGTTAGTTCCTATTGTTGAAAACAATATTTACATTTTATAATAAACACAAGAGTATTTAACAGTTCTCTCAGCATGGGGAAATGTATATGAATGTGAAACTGCTTGTGAGTCTGCTGCAGCAGTGATGCATTCTGGATCAGTCATTACTTAACAGATGGACTCTAATATACAACAGTCAGTATTCCCAAAGCAGAGAGAGGTTATATAGTGTCTACTAATTTTTTTGTTCTCAGGGCCATGAATGTTTCAGTCTTATGTTTGTGGATTTGAAACTTAATTTACTCGCATGTGAAACACAGTGAATATGGCAGATGCACAGTAAATCTGATGGCATATCCCTAAACTACTAAACATCTGATTCTGTATTAAGGATTTGAATAGCAACTTTAAATAAAGTGCAGTTTTCTGTTTTAGGAGCATTCTTTGGGGGGTGAGTAAGGGTAGAGAAAACAATTTTTTTTGGTATTTTTGTTGTTTTGTTTTTCTTCAGTCTTTACTAGTTCTGAATGACTTTTGATGCAAGTGTGATAATAAGTGAAGAGTGATGAAGAGTTGATCTCTGTTTTATATGTCAGTTGATATGTTAAGTCTCTGAGAGTAATATAACCACTATGCCACGTTGGGTAACTATAAACCATTTTGGTGGTAGCTTTTTAGTATAAGGATTCTGCATAGCTGAGACTTTTATCATTGGAGAAAATCAGAAGTTAAAGATTGAGATACTTTTAAAATTTTCTTATCTGAGACTCCTGCTGACTTCTGTGTAAAGCTTAAATAAGTTTATTCATTCTTCCTGCATCTGCATAAAAGCAGCAGTAAATGTCTGAGACAAAACTTTGTTTTGGTGTGCCCTTGTCATGGAGATGGTCACTCCTCTTTCCTGTTACGTTGCCATTTTAGGGTTTGTTCTTGATCAGTTTTTATCTTTAAATGTTTGTTTTGGTGGCCATACACTGAGGTCTCTGTTACTGCATTTCAGACTTACTCCGTGTGGTACCTTCTGATGTGGATGTACATGGTGATTTATTGTATCTGTGAGGTGCTTTTTATGCAGTGCTGAAAATCTTTTTCTAGTCTGATATCTGATTGAATTTTCAGTTTTGCCAAATTTTAACAGTGGACTTTCAGCTAGACAGTATTTTGTTCTTGGGCATGCCTACATTGTTTATGGGATTAATTGCTTCTCTCGATGCTTTTCATAGTGTTTTCTCAAAACTTGCTGTGTTTGAAGTTCTCTTAGATTGGTGAAATTGTTTAATGGAGTATCACTTGGTAGAATATCTAGTATTGCTTGTGTTATTTTTCATTGTTTAACATTACAGTAAAAGACATAATGGAGAAAGGGTTCAGCCCCTTTTATGCCGATGAATGACTTAGTTGTCCTTAAAAAGACACCTGCTAGTGTTAGTACTATGAAACTCAGATCTTAAGAATCTATGAGCTGAAGGCTTTTTTACAGTGACTCTTTAGAATACAGTATTCTTTTTACCTTTCTGGAGGTAGGAGGGAGCACCTCATTGCATCTCATGCATTCTTCTGTAATAGTGTTTATTTTGATTTTGGTCCATGAATTCCCAGGTTCAGCATGCTCTCTCTGAGATGTGTGTTCATTGACCCTTGTGTACTGCAAAGCACCAAACTAGAAAGGGCTTTTCTTAAAAAAACTTGTAATCCTTTAATTGCTCTAAGTGATTTGTCTTTGGGGATATTTTGGCACCAGTCCTGTGCTTCTGTTGATGAGCAGGCCTCTCTCCTTTGAGTAGCTCCATTAGTTTTCTTAGGGTACTGTCAAGGATGTTGTCATTGCATGGTAGATGTGCTTGTTTCTGCTAGACTGATGTTTAAAATAAAGTTCTGCACCATGTGCTCCAGCAATGTGATATGGAAGTGGAAGTGGGTCCGTCTGTCCACCTTTATTCCTCTACTTTAAGTCTACTTTTGTTTATCCTGTTTCCTAGTGCACAATTCTCACACATGGCTTTAATTAGTTTTCTATAACATACTTTGACTGGTCTTTCCTTACAGTATTTTTACTGACTTGCTTTCTTCATTCTCTGCTTTTCCAGTATTTTAACAGTCTTGGGAATTTTTTCTTCAGTGTGTATTTTGAACTGACTCTTGCTTGGCCATTTTTCATCAAACATGACTATGTGAGTTGCATTGTTTCTTAGCTTTTAGCGTCCTTTCTCTGTTCCAGTTTGAATTTCCTAGAATTTTTTGGTTTGTTTTGTAGAGCTGATTCTCTGGCAGTGCACAGTAAGAGAGGTGAACAGGAAGCTGAATGACACTAAAAAATTGTGACTGGTGCTGAAACATGCTGTTCATTTTGCCTGTGCATCTTGAACAGATGATGTGATGCAGATTTGAACAGATTTCAGTCTGATACAGGTGTAGCTAACCAGGGTTCTCCTTGTGCAATCTGGAAAGCTTTTATATATGTTTTGTTAGGCTAGAGAGTGCTTATAATAAGTAGGTCAAACACCAGGCATAGTTCAAAAAGTCTTTTTCTGTTCTTGTTGACTGCAGCCCACGCTTCTGCCTAGCTCTTCTCATTTTCTTGGCTGCTCCATCCTACTTCAGTGTTAGTCACCCATCACAAGAGGTAAGCCATTTTTTAGTGCTCTGTCACATTGTGTACTCGTAGGAGTGGCATTTGCAGCTTCAGAGCAAATGGGTTGAATTATGTGAGAGATCCTTCTCTCCCTACAGGTTTTCTGTAGTAGTGGTCATAAGGAAAAATGTAAAGGGAGGCATATTTAAGAAAGAATTTTTTCTTTTGGTACTTCTTCGGATGTTGGTTGAGGGTCTTCTTAAGCTAAAGTTGGCTTTTGGTATTTGAGTTCTTTGAATCCATTTAAAGTTTTGGTTGCTGCAACACCCCATGACACAGTTCAGCACTTATTTGGGGAGGAAGAATCACTTGTTCGTTGGATGCTGTTGTACTCCTAAAAAGCGTGGGCCTCCTGAGCTGTAGCCTCCATCATATGACTTCTGTTTTTCTTGTAAAACTAGCTTTGCAGGCTTGAGAATCTTGTTCCATTTTCTTGGTGAAAGCCTTCTCATTTTGAGTATAATTCTCTGCTGATAGATGGTACTGATCAAAAAAGTGAAGTTTGAGGAAGTTTTGAAGTTGGGATTTTGGTTTGTTTTGGGTTTTGTTTGTTTGTTTGTTTTACATGTTAAGTTCTGGTTTAGGTAGT